CCCAAAACAAAATGCCAGACGAGAACAGGTTGACAGGCTATACAGTTTCCTTGTTTGGCAGTGCCAACAATTATTGGATGCGTAGAAGACTGGCAGCTGAGGCATGCAAAGTGCACCATACTTTGAAATAACTTCACCTAGGTCACATGACTTATTCTTCAATAAGTAGTATATTACACGTGGCATTTGCACTTGTGGCCATTTCTTCACACAAGCTTGAGGATGTGCTTGGGTGCTGGTCATATATGCACACAAAAGCAGCTGAGGATTAATAAAAAATGTTTGGCCAGGAGTTGTACATAAGGTAATTTAAAATCTCTTTGACTAGTAAAATGTTCCAAGTGTGTGCAGTTTCGAGAGTCGAATTAGCACTTCCGAGACTTCATAACTGAAACATCCACATGATATAAACGTTCTCTGGTGCACATACGCTTCTGTATCGTTTTGTGAGAAGGATGTTCCTTCACGACTTGTGTTTTTTTATTACAATTAGGATAATTAATTAATTTATTTATTTTCATACCTCAAGGGCCTCCTAGAAGGAGGCATTACATGAGGGGTGGTACAAGTGACAGACTAGAACAAAAAACGAGGGTAGGGGTGAGGGGGAGGTGTGCTACCAACATAACTATATACAAGACCGTTACAACAATAAATGAGTGAAGAAGCATAAAAGAAACTACATGGCCAGACACGCTATATGTTTTACATTGGGACCAATCAGAGTTTAAACAGCTTGGATAACCGCGCTTTACAGCAGTACAATGGTGCAAACATACAAGTCAGAATGCAAACAACGGCAATGAGCTAGGTAGCTATAAATTTGGTAAAAACAGAAAACAATATGATGTCAGAAGGCAACGCTCCATTACTTCGCCTGCACTGACAACAATGAAAGTCAGAAAAACGGGAACCATAAAAACGACATGAGGATATTACACAATTCCGGGCGCGGTAAGCAGCGATTTAAACTGGTCAAGGTCTTTGGTCTGTACCACGTGAGCGGGAAGATTGTTCCAGTCTTTGGCTGACCGAACAAAAAAGGATTGCGCGAAAGTGTTAGTTCGTGGGCGGGGGTATGAAACTTGATGTTCGTTTTTAGTGCGAGTGTATACATGTGATTTTGGCGTGACGTAGGAGTTTGGTGATATTGAGTAATGAAACCTATGGAATAATGCCAGCCTTGCTAGTTTCCGACGGTTGTTGAGGGGAGGAAGGGACGCACGCGACTTGAGATTTGTGACGCTAGTGTATGAAGAAAAATCAGAGAAAGCAAATCTAACAGCCCGGTTTTGGATGGCTTCTACGTTGTCGATGAGGTAACGCTGGTGCGGGTCCCATATAGCGGCTGCATATTCTAGTTTTGGACGGATAAGGGTTTTATAGGCCAACAATTTTAAGTCTGAAGGAGCAAATTTCATTGTGCACTGCAGATACCCGAGGGATCTACTGGCGCTGGCGATTACTTTGTACACGTGTACTGTCCAAGATAGATTGTTGGTGATATGGACGCCTAAGTACTTGTACTCTTTTGTGGATTGTAATGAAGAGCCTTTAAGGGTGTAATTGTGAAATAATGGGCATGCACGCCGGGAAAATGACATTAGTTTTCATTTTGGTACGTTTAAGGACATTTGCCAAGTTTTACACCAATTTTCAATACGAAAAAGATCAGATTGTAGATTAATTTGGTCTTGCTTACATGTAATTTTGGAATATAACACACAATCATCCGCAAATAGGCGAATGTTATTAGAAATGTCAGACGGTAGATTATTAACATAAATTAAGAATAGCAACGGCCCGAGTACTGTACCCTGTGGTACACCGGACAGAACGGGTGCTGTGGTAGACTGTGCGCTATTTATTTCGACAAATTGCTTTCGTTCCAGGAGGAAGTTTTCGATCCAATTAAGTTCAAATGGGTCAAGATTCAGCAGTGATAGTTTATACATTAAGCGACGGTGGGGTAACTTGTCGAATGCCTTTTCAAAATCTAGGAAAATCACGTCTGTTTGGATGTTTCTGTCAAGGTTTAAGTGCAAATCATGTGTAAATGAAGCAAGCTGCGTTTCGCAGGACAGCCCCTTGCGAAAACCATGTTGCAGTGTGGAGAGAATGTTATGGCGTTCGAGGTGATTAATGATGTGCGAAAAAATTATATGTTCCAATATTTTTGATGGTACGGACGTAATTGAAATGGGGCGATAGTTCAACGGTGATGACCTATTGCCGCTTTTAAAGGTCAGAACAATCTTACCTAGCTTCCATTTAATGGGGATACAGCTTGACGTTAATGATTGGGAAAATAGCTAAGCGAGCATGGCACTAATTGGTTCTTTGGAATTTTTCAGCATTTTAGAGTTGATTCCGTCCGGTCCCGTAGCAGATGATAGTTTCATTTTATTAATTATGTTCATTATTCCTTGAGTTGTAAATATTATCGGGGGCATTTGTTCATTAATGACCAGATCCGAGGAAATGGGGGCGCTCATGCTGGCTTCTTTCGTGAAAACCGAGGAGAACGCCACGTTGAGTACTGCGGCTGTCTCACTATCGCTAAGTTCTACGTTTTGATCGTTATACAATCTTATTGGGGTGACAGGAGACGGGTTTATAGCTTTCCAAAATTGTTTTGGATTAGTTTGTAGCATATTAGGCAATGTTGTCTCAAAAAAATTTTGCTTGGCAATACGAATTGTTTTCGTTAGCTTCTTTACTGAGCCTTGATATGCCTGCCATGCGGACGGACTATTTCTGGCTTTGGCTTTTCTAAACAGTCGCTTCTTTCTGCGCATTTCTTTGCTAATTGAGCCAGAAAACCACGGTGCCGATTGTTTGCTTTTAATTTTTACCGTTGGAACATATTTATCAGTTAATTCTTGAATTTTCTCCGAAAACAAGTTCCAGTTGTGATCTACAGAGCGGTCATGGAAATCTTCTTCAAAAGAAAAGATGAAGCTTTGTAGCTCAGCCGTGATTTTTTTGCAATTTCCCTTGTCATAAAGTTTTATTCGTTTTGCTACTGGTTTTTCTGTCTGAAATACTGAGTGAAAAAACGCTAGGATAACTTTATGATCACTTATTTCCTTAAGGTAATGTACTGACTGGATACCGCTCGGGTCGGACGTTAGAATTAGGTCAAGAATGTTTGCGGTATTTGTGGTCTGTCTGGTAGCTTGGGTTATGATTTGTGTTAATTGAAAATCCTGTAGGATGCTTAAGAACTGGCCGGGTTCACCGATAGTTACGCGATATTGGTCACTCCAATCAATGGTAGGGTAAATAAAATCACCGGATATTATTAGGTTAGCAAGGGGATACTTTTTGCTTATGAAGTCGAGAGAGTCGTTAAGGAGCCTGCAAAAATCGGCGTCTGGTTGTGGGGGGCGATAGCACGCTCCAATTATGGCAAGTCCTGATAGCGTTCGACATGCTACGTACATTATCTCTAGAGAGAATGTTATGACAGCTGCTGTTTCATTTTTTTCTGTAAAAACCTGGTAGTTGTGAATAATAGTCTCATATTCATTAAAGCCAGGGCGTGTTACCTGAACACGTGCGTTTGTTGTAATGCTTCTCAAATACTTCTCAAGAAACAAACTGCAATTATGTTATCAAAAATGGGCGTGCATTCAGAGTATCGCTAGCGACAGCTGCTCGTACTAGATGTCACGCAGTTCTTATTTTCATTTTCTCATGTTTGCATTTTCTTAAGCGAAATCAGATGGTCTGCTAGAGGTTATCTTGAAACTGAGTACCCCTCCCAAGAAATCCAAAGCTTTAAAGGCCCTGCAAACAGGCTTTGACATTTTTTTTTTCACCTCCCAAGAGAGCTAATTTATACAGTAGACCACGATGACCACATTTTCGGAATATTACAGCACTGCACGTCACACAGACCCTCCATTTTTAAAAGACAATTCCTGCACCTCTTTCCTTCTGACCAATCCCCCTATACGTGCAGTGATGCAAGTTTGCCCATGGGCAACTTGACGCACCACTGAGCTTGTCGAACGAAAGCCTTCTAGATAAAGGGACGTCTCTACCAGCGGAAGGATGCTCTTCAACAGCTCTTCCTCCCCGCACTGCTATGACACGTGCTCATGTTGGGGACGCCCTGCCCAGTTGTTGCTAGGCGCTATAACTATAGCCCTGCCCAGTTGAGATGCTAGGCGCTATAACTATAGCGCCTAGCATCTCCGACTATAGTACATCTAACGTCATGTTGCCGAAGTGGCGGAGTTACTAAGATGGGCTACAACTTCCACCTACCTATAGCGGCAAAGAGTTGCGAGGCTGTGTGAAAATTTGAAGCCTGTAACTTCCTTTTTATAGCATGTATTTGCAAAATTTTTGTGGCAACATGTTCACATAGTAAAGAGCACATATCTCTCTCTATAACAACTTTTGGACCTCGAGTTTGTTTGTTGGCCTTTTAAGCACATATGCACACACTTGACGTGCAGCTGAGTGGATGTATTCAGTCTTCTCCATTTACGTTCCACGTGCTACTTCGAAAGCTCCTCTAATGGTAATGGTAGTGCATATTTCCAGAACCCCACAATATTACAAAGCATACACACTAACTACGAATTTACACATGCTGCTTAAGAACTGCATTGGAATTCTACTCCCCATGTCTATCGAGACTCCACCCAGTGGGAACTTCTCATGTGCTTCTAATGCTTGATGTTTCGGCCATATTTAAGTTGACACCTTAAGGGTTACTTACTAGTGCCCTTACAATCACAAAAGTTGCTGTGTTTTGCCTGTGTACCGCGAAGGACCGCAATACCACTGCAGAAAGCAACACACGGCCGCAAAACATCAAAGACTCTAGATGGCACTGCAGCAGTGAAGTGTTTTATCAATGGCAGCCTCATTGCGAAATTGCTGTAAAGGCACACAAGTAATAGAAACAACACTGCATCATAAAGAAAACTCTATTGTATTTAAATGCATGGACTTGTGTACAATTTTTTAAGAGAAAGCAACAGTTGAATGTGCAAGGGTTTTATTAGTTTACAGACATGACACAATATCTTTGTGCACAATGAGTAAGCAGCATGTTGGTGCCGTTTCGAACTAATATTACGATATTTGCTCTCAGCAGCACCTTTGCATAGCAGCTCTACTGCACATGCAGTAAAACTTAGCTTTGCACTTCATCATCACAGATGCAATCACACACAGACTTTGCAATCAAAATGACATATGCTGCATAATAAGCTAGGAGGTGCACTGCACCTTGTGATCTTTGGAGGCACACTAAGCTGTGCATAATAAACAGGTGCTAGGGTTTCCTTGCAGCATACAGCTGAACTTGGACACGATTTGCACTAATCAAATTAACATGCCAGTTGTATTCACTTACTCTTCCCCCGATTGTAAGACCCGTCAGGCACAACACTGGGACACAACAAAAAACGGAAAAGGCACTCAATGACTGTTGGGCATAGCAGAAGAGAAACAGGCACTGCATGTGACACGGCCACTTCGATGATCCACGATTAATATAGTTGAAAGAACAGCAGCCACTTCATATTCACATGTGATATAGTTTGGGTGAATCCACGTTGAATGTCAATAGAGGCAATGTTGGCTATGGTGACATTCTCGCAGCTTCCACCTTGCTCTGTAGTCCCGTCTTCCTCTTACATTCTGGTCTAGTTGGTGTGAATCCACGACTATTTTTTAGTGCGAAACGACACCAAACAAAGATGACAGGACAAAGCAATGCTACAATCTTTATACGAACGAGAACCAGACTGACAAGCATAGTGTACAGCAATCTGCACAACTTAAAACATCCCAGCGCACTCATGATAGCATATTTAGAAAAGAAAATGCCAAACAAGGATTAGGAAGGAACACTAATGCACTCTGAACGCAATCACTGAATGAAATGGACACTACACATGTCGTTCAATGCAATAAATGGTGTCAGTACAGAGTAGGGCTTTGCCCTGTAATCTTGCGTTGTTTCACATACTATAGAAATCATGTCTTGTCTGGATTTCTGCCACCAGACTAAGCGGTAACACAATCACGTAGGAGCACCTTGATTCCCGATGGCATGCTTGTTTTCTTGGCACCTCTTATAACATCATCATTCTGCAATATAGTCTTCATTCTCTACCACATGCATCCTTCCCAGCCACTATCCCCATTCAAAGCTAAACTTTCTAATGCCCAGCATATTTAATATGCCGTGACACGTTTCCATTAAATTATATTAAATTTGATGCACTGCCCAATTTGCATGCTTTACTCTGCTACTTTTGATTCCAGGTTCTTTTCAGACTCATTGATTGCAACATTAGTGGCGGATGCAGCACAGCATATGTGAGCATGTTCTAACAGAGCAGCAACACGAGTCAGAGCTTCGGCCTGCTGCAGTCCTTGGTGGTAGTTCTGCGCAAAGCACCCTTGTTGAAGGATGTAATAGAACTGAGCAGTGCAGAGCGGTCGTTCGATGATCCCGACGATCCCGAACCCGGAGTCGGTGGTCCTGGTGGTGGCGGTGGAGGAGGTGGCGAAATCGGCGGTGGTGGTGGAGGCGGGGGCGGCGGAGGTGTCTGACTCTTTGTCACAGAAGTTGCCTCGGCCCTTGTGCCTGGAAGCACAGGCATAACCCACAACGATGTAAAACAACAAGACAGAATTGAAGCTATTATAACAGCACCAAAAGCACTTGGATACCTCACACGCATGTTTTCCTAGTTTACTGGGAGAATGTATGAACTACTTGGTAAGGACACGGAAGGAACAATGAAGACATCATTTTCTCGTCTTTGTCTAGACTGTATGCAAGTTTTCTGTAGAGAATTCGTCGACAAAGTTAAATGAGAAAGAATAAAAGTCTAGATGCTTACATGGTCACAATGAATAGGATCAGAAAGTTGTCCAAAATAGTTTGTTATTTCATTCATCGCTACCCAATGCTGCGTAATGATAATAATAATAATAAGTGGGGTTTTACAGCCCAGAACCATGATACGATTATGAGGAACACTGTAGAGGGCTTTGGAAATTTGGACTACGTGGTGTTCTTTAACGGACACTGTGGTTGCACAGAACACCGGTCTTTACCATTTTGCCTCCATTGAAATACAATTACTGTGGCCGGAACTGAACCCGCAAACTTCGGGTCAGCAGCCGAGCACTCTAGCCACTGATGATCCAAGGCAGACACCCCGTGCTTTCTAGCCACAGCTGTTTCGCTTGCTGCCGCTGTGATGAACCGCTGCGAATAAAGAATGCACACCCGTGCTTCTAACAAAACGCTGCGTTGAATAAGCATGCATTCACTGTTTCAATTCGCCCTCGCCAAGTGAATGAAAACATAAATGGAACAGTGAAAATTATGTGAAGAGAAAAGAGGCCGCACATTTGAAATCTCCTGTTGGGCATCTGCTCTGCATTTTACGGTATGCCACCTTGTTCTCACAACGTGACAAAACAATATAGAATCATGAGGCGTTAGCCACCGTCAGATATTCAGGTACTGAAATGTGACGCTATGGCAGCAATCGAACCACCAACCTCATTCATGTCAGTGCAACGTCGTAGCTGTTGAGCCACAATGGCAGGTAAACTTCAATGACGTAGAACCTTGTCTACGAGTTCCCAATTCATATGACGTCAAATACCAGTGTTCACAATATCAAGCAAAAGTGTGCAATGTTTCAAGGGCCTAGAATTGTACATTTTGCCAGATATAGTGTAAACTGAATTTAACGAAATGATGGGGGCGCTCAAACTATTTGGTTAAGTTGGGAAGCCGTAAAATCAAGACTGGAATTCTATGGTCTTTCAAAATTTACAACCACTATGTGCCATCACCTAAAAGCTACTGTGTTATATTTCATTTGCCACTAATATATACCAGCACACGTGAAAAGTCCACGAGGACAGCCCGAGTATGAATTAATCTCACATCTAGGCCATACACAACGTACACAGTCATGTGAAGCCATGACAAGCTGCTGATATTCAAAATCGGGGAGAACGAAGAGTGTCCATATAATTGCTATCGCAATAAAAAGTTTGCCAGTTGGAATGTTGCCATAGTTTTTACAAAAATTGCTTGAATTTGCGCGTTTTTCTTCCGAATTCTTTGCTAAGCCTATTTAGGCCGTAGAACTAATATATGGTTTTAGTTGTGACGTCACGTCACAAAACATTGACAACATAATGCTCTAAAATTAAATGTGTCGCCATACCCAGTTTGAAGGTTGCATACACATAATTTATTCTCACCAAACTTTTCCTTTTGTCAGCACGTTTGAAGGGCTGTCACGTGACCATACAATTTTTTTGAACAAAAATACTTCACTAACATCACTTTCACATAGTTACCTTTCAGCTCAATTTTTTTTTTTTCAGCAGAATCGCTGGTGGTCGAATTTCGGGCTGGGATGTATCACTTGGAAGGACCAGGGTGCATTTATTATGTGGGGCAAATTTCACGAAATTATTTTCGGTGTGAGCAAAAATGTGTTATGCCAAAAAAAAAAAGAACGTTGGGTAACCTTTCACAATTGACATATGCGTACACCGATTGTGAATAGTTTCTTTGTTGCACTTCACTCATCTTCAGTGGTTGATGGTGTTGTCCTCCACGCACTCCATAAAAGCATCTTGTGGCTTTTTTTATCGCAATATTTTGTTTAACCACAACAGTGGCATCTGCTGTGATCTCGAGGGGCGGTCTGGAAGTGTGTGCAAAATGTGTCGTAGCGTCAGCGCACTTAGCAAACTCTGAAGCAAACTCTCACGATGACGACATTGACATTGCAACAAGCTACCAGTGCAGCATTAAAACAAACCGTTGATAGCGACTAAATTAAATATGGCTGCTGAATCGCTCTCTGCATGGGATACGGCTGCAAAAAGAAGTTAGCCTACATGTTGCATTCCTTGGTGGGTAACAAGCATAAAGAGCAAATTGCAACTGAAGCGAGGATCAGAGATGCTACCAAAATCGTCACACTTTTTTCTAGGAGACAAGCAGTTTTATCTGGTCTTCCAGAAACTTTCGACACACCTGCAACGCTATGGTGACGAATGGCTTCTTGTGACAGATGTCTGGTCATGCTTACCAATGGTCGCTTCCTGCAAATACGAACCTTTAGGCCCAATTAAATGCACACGATTTTCACAGCTCTTGTGCATGTGATTAGGCCTTTAAGTTTCATATTTGCAGGAAGCGGCCATTGGTAAGCGCAGGCAGTTCATGACCTTTGCTCGTAGTGTGCTTGTGAAGAGATGTCTTAAACTCGCATTGTTCGTGAACCCCGCTGTGGTGCATGGATAATTTAAAAAGACGGGACTCACAGGCAGAAAGAAAAAGAACTGGCCATGGCAGTGGGTAAAGGGAAGGGGGGTAGTGAACCGAGGGGAGTAGTCATAATAATAAAAAACAAACAAACAAACATAACCCTGCAAGGAGATGCCACGTGTCTGCTAGCTGACTGTGGCAAATGAATATAGGTGGTACGTTTATTATGCGGAAGGAAAAAAAAATCAGAAATACGACGACTGAATAAGATTTAGGTTTGTTTAATGCTATGGAGTAAATACAGTAGTAATTTTAATGTAAATGTGAGGAAAGAAAAAAGATCACAGCATATCCATGGGGTGAATGATGATGAGTGGTGAAGCTCCCAAAGGAATCATCAGTAAACCGAGAATCTTCCATGCAATACGCCCAGTCGATCATCATTTAGAGACATGAAAAACGCTGTGTGTGTATTCCGTGCCTATTGGGCCTCCCGCTCTTGTACGGCAGGATCTTATAGGCGCGGCCGTACAGTTTTACGGCACGCTTCTGCCTCGCACGTTTGCACATCGGGGTTCAGTCTACGAGCGCGAGCCGCCGCTGCCTTGCACACACGCCTCTCTGCAGCCTTGTCCATCCACCGACTTTCTGAACCCGTGCGCGTGCCAGAATGACTTATTTTACTACAGCGCGCCCCCTAGCGAACAGTGCCGCTAACGAACACGCAATCGCCAACGTCTTCGTGTGACGTCATTCCTACTTTCTCGCGCGCTCGCACATCGGGGATCCATCTTTGAGTGCAAGCTGCCACCTTGCGCGCATCATACTACAAGTAATGCTACCTACTATCTTGCATTTTCAGCATATATGCATTCGTTATATGTACAAGTACCACTCGCTAATTACAATTTATGGTGACCCCCCTACTCACCGTAGCGGATGTTCACCGCGGGTTCACGCTTAGCGAGCCACAGAGCCGCTACTCCGTTTACTCGCGTGTAGCGCACCGCTTCGCGCATGCTCAACTAATAAGGCGTTTAGCGCGGCGCGGCAAATAGACAGTGTTCTAATGCACAAATCCACAACACTTTATTGCCTCTGGCGGCCCCCCGCACAACAGTACAACGTCCGCTCCCGGGACGCGGGTAGCAAAGGCACCCGCACGCGGACGTTCACAATAAGGGGAAAACCGCGAGCACGTCGCAGCTGGCAATGGCGAGCTTTGACACGCCGGTCGGGAAAAGGTCCCTCGCGGCTATGCTGCGCACTCTCACGATGGCCAATGGGCCTGGTCGCGAGTGTTAGGGCAAACCTCGTACGCGTAGGCCTACGGCAAGTGCAGCTCGTTGTGGTACGACCACTTCAAGCACTAGGCACCGCTGTGGGCTTAGCATACGCTACCGAAGCTAGCACTCAAGTAAACACGCCTGCCGAGGTGCCCAAGGCCACCCCAGGCAGGCTACAGTCCGGCGATTCCCAAAGGGGACGCGGACGAAGGAAAATACCTGCTTACCCGGCGCCGACCACGGAGAAAAGAGCGCTCCCTCGGCGCGTGCGTACCGCCTGCCGTGCCCGCACGTGGTGCCATCTATCACCATGCGTCGTTATCAGAGCAGAAAAAGCAAAAGGGTGTGGCCGTGTGGCGGAATGCCCGCGAAATGGTCGCGGGCGCGCCTCAGATCCCCACACATTTTAAGACCTAATGAGAGGTGGCTACATACACTTACGATGGGACGCATGACCAACGCCTCAACTCTTTCGTTATCACGCCTATTCAAATCTATCACTGGTGATAGACACATTTGTCATCAATTTCGGCATGTTAAATCTCTTCCTTGTGCACCCAACACTTTCTAGTATTTAGGTCAGCCACTCAACATTCAGAATTTTCTTGTATTTGCTGACTTGGGCAACATAGCGATTTTTGACAGACTTTTGCGCGAACCAATGTGCATGTGTAGTTGGAAAAATGTATTAGGTTGGCAGAACTGCATGCCCCTTGTGATTATTGTACAGTAACATCGAAGTTCTGTAATGAAAAGAAACTTTGCAAGCCAAATGTCGGATTGATGTGTTAGCTTTGCAATTCGACCGAGTTGGGCAGTAATAATTTTCGGAAATTTATGCCAGCAAATCAATAGAGAGCTGTTGCTAGAAGTCAGAAAAATTAATTCTACCAAAAAAATATTTCCCTAGGTCCGTCGCATGAATAAAGGGTGCAGGTGGCTCTCACAGCCAGTTTCCAGCCGCTTTAAATTTGCTTGTATCGTTATATCAGACACAGGGTCACATCTAGTGTCACTAATCGCGCTCCTAGTAAGCGGTCGTCACGCGCGCATGGGTGCGCGTCAGCGCTGCAAAACAGGCGCACTGCTTGAAACTGTCTTGCGATCTCACCTCAGCTTCAAGTTTTATGGGGACGATGTTTTGCGTCAGGCTGAGACATCCGTAGCCGTTCATGGGTTTGTTTTGCTTACATCCTCAAGTTATCTCCTCCGCCGCAAGTGCATATAGCTTCTGACCTTTGTGCATAGTTTTTAGTTACTCAGGTTACGTGCGAGGTCCACACTTCGCTAGGGTGCAGTGTAGTGGCGCTGGCCACAGAGCTTCTAACATCTAGAAGGCCCCCAGAGCACATCTTGGCCCTCACTACGGAGCAGTGCGAAACATTTTAGAACTGTTCGCGATATTGTTCTTTTTTCAATATTATATGCGCGAAAATGCAAAGGAATATGCTTGGATGCATATATTGAAATGCCAACCTATGCGGAATAAGGTGGCTCATGGACAGAGGCTACGCTAGATGAAATAGCGAAGTTCATTGGACATCTCATTTATAGAGAGATTATTCACATCACGAGTATCGAGTATCCATCTATATTGGAATACCTAGAGACTCTTATCACAAGGCAATGAAAATTCACTGAGAAAGTGTACAAGTACACTTGTGTCTCACGAAAAACCAAGCAACGCTTCACCGCATGGCATGAGCAATGAAGCAGCACCTCGGTTCTGATTTTTTTATTCTTAGTCTATGTGAAGAGAAACATTTTGTACAACATTAATTATTTTTATACTGTTCCTGGGTCAACTTATTTACAAAATGTATATTCTAAATTTTCTTCGTTTTTAATATTTTTGCATATATAGTGTTTTTTAGTCCACTGTTTACCAGGTGGTGACAAAAAATTTCACACTTTTCACATTTTTATTCATTCTATAATAGTTTTGTTATTCTACAACTTATGTTTTTTGAAAAGAGCATTTCATTCTGCAAAGTTTGATATGCTGCAATGCGTGCTGGAGTACATTTCAAACTGGCAAAAACGATCTTCCCGAGAGATATGAAAAACAACTATTCTCGCGCGGTGATGAAAGCGTTAAGAAGCTTCTCTCCTAAAAAGTGGACGAAGAGATAACTTGACACTAGCATAGACTATACCAGCAACCTTCAAATACCGCGTGCGATATTCTACCAGCTGAGCTACTGCGGCGGACATCCCCATTATTACTTTATGGGGTATATATGTGGATTAGAACCTGAAAGTGTCAGTCAGTGCCGCTAGTAGTATTGACGGTGAGTGCGGAACTTTTTTTCTGCCTGTTGGCGTCACGTAGTATGCGATCTTTTTACGAGCTGGCAGCTGATCAATGTCCCTCACATACTACCTGCATCTAGTCTACCAGAGCGAGACTCTCCCTATAAATGAACGAAAGAAGGGGAATTTTTAGGACTCATTTTTCTTTGTTAGGCACAATTAACAGATGAAAAAGACAAGGAGATTATAAGAGATGTTATTTGTAGTAGTTATAAAAGCAGTGCAACTCACTTGTGGAGCGTGCCTGGGTCCGGCCGCTCTCCGCTTTCCTTAGCTCAAGTAACCTCTTCTTGCGATTTTCGTCTTGTGACAAGCGTGCCTGGGCTTTGCTCAGCTTGGTGTGCTGTCGCAGCTAAAAGAGCATTTAAAAAAGAATAAAACATTAAAGGGGGTGATGGATTCCTCTGACACAGGAATCTGTATAAAACACAAAAGTGCAACATGTCTTCAGAGAAGTACCTGAATGTTTATTAGGCATAATAACGTCTATTTATATTTAGTGACTCTAGCACCCTTACACATTGTGGGAGAGCACATGCGCCCAGCCATCCTTTCCCTTTAACAGCAGCACGACAGCCTAGTTGCGAGAATATGTCTGTCCCCTCCAGACACAAGTCAATGAAGCCTCTTGCAAAGAGATGGAGCACCCCGCGGCCGGCGCACGCGATTCCCCTTTCCCGGCTCACAGAATGTTTCTCCTCCCTCAGTGAAGGAACGAACCCTCGTCAGGAAGAGGGAAACCACGACAGTGGAGAAAGCGAGCAGGCCGGCGGCCGGACGCTCTTTCTGGCACCGGCGACGAAGCAGAAAGAACGACCTCTGGGACTCCCTGCGAGCCAAGGATGACAACGACCGAGGTGTAAGCGTCTACCCTTTGTATTATGTAGTCTCTCTACGCAACATTTACGCGTTATTGCTAAAGTATAGCAATAAAGTGTTGTTTGTAGACCTAGCCTGTTGCCTTATTCGCCCGAACCCATGTAGCTGCAATGACTCAAGCTACAGAAACGGGACGTTAAGCGTGCACGGTACAACTGTGTGCGGCTGAGACATTAGCAAAACTTCTGCGGCAGCTAAACATAAAACGGACCCCCTATAACAGACACATATATGTTGATGACTGGTGACACTTTTTGTCCATCACGACAAGCAACGACAAGCAACGACACGCAACTGAATGAATTGTGCATTGCACACACCAGAGCATTACACAAATCACACAAACCACAGGCATTCTCAAAACGTACAAGCGAAACCGAACGTGTTTTCATTCGATCGCTTTGTGAACTCGGAGCCCACTGCAGCGAAGGGTGTATAATTTAGGGGTTGGCCACCGCCCGTGGATGTGCTTGGCATGCGGCATTGTGTTAGCAAGCAACAGCCTGCTGGTGGGTCACTTCAGCGAAAATATACTCAGTTTCGTACTGCTTCAGTGTGCTTGTGATAGCCAGTTCGGCTTTATCAGCCACTCTTATCAGCAAGTAGTGATGTCTGATGCCTCATAGCAATAGCTAACCTTGAATACACACAAGGAATTGGTCGTTGTCAACAGATTACCTTGTGGAATCTCTTCCACGCCAGGCATTTTCCAAAAGATAATGGATACTATGTTGAAGGGCTTCAAAGGCGTTTGCTGCTACCGAGACGATATTATTGCGATAGCAATTACATGGACACTCTCGGCTGGATTTTGCCACCGGCGTCGCCATCACTCATATATATAAGAAGAGAAGACACACAACTTAGCGGTTGCCTTAATTTAATTTCTAACAGTTTCGACCGGTGGACATATCTTCGTCAGGGTTTGCGAACACTTGTTCGAAAACCCTGACGAAGATATGTCCACCGGTCAAACCGTTGGAAATAAAACTAAGGCAACCGCTAAGTTGTGTGTCTTCTCTTCCAATTATGTTTGGCCCATTAGAAAAACTTCTTCAGTATACACACGCATGCACGCACGCGCACACACACACACACACACACACACATTGAGATCTAACAGACAATAATGCCAAGGAATGTATAGGGGAAGTTATTAGAATCAATGCAATTTAAAGAAGAAAGAAAAGTGGGTGAAAAAATAACTTGCCATGAGCAGGAATCGAACCTACAAGCTTTGAATAACGCGTTCAATGCTCTACCACTGAGCTATCACGGTGGCTATCCCCCCAGCCACTTCATTGGGTTTATATGTGAATTTTAAGCGTGGTAGTGTCAGTCAGCGCAATCTGTAGCCATGGCGGCGATTGTGGCACACTCTTTTATGAGCCTTTATGGCATCACGTAGCACGTGTTATGCCAGCGAGTCCATAGTGAACGTCCATGCCGCGGAAAAAGGAAATCTGTGTCAAGGCCAGCACGCGAGCCCGCCTGACGCGATCAACAACTCAACGGCGTCATCACGAGACGGCGCCTTTCTGGCGCGCACGTGCAGTGAGTCACCTCAGCCCGCGAGCCCGTCGAGTAAACAACCGGCGCCTTTCTGCCTGGCGGGTCTGACGCAATGCCTGGCGACGTCACTAAATACACAAAGGTTGTCCTGAGCTCGCTAGTGAAAACCTCGTCAACTTCCTTTTTTTGCGCATCGCCGTGTGCCGCTCCTTCGAAAAGCCACCAGCTTTTTTTTTCCAGCGCGTGGTGTGGCGACACATGCAGCAAGCGTTGCATGGCGTGTTTGGCTTGTCAGTTGGTGTGGCAGAATTCATAAGAGCAGGAAGCGGTGCAAGACTTCGGTAGGTGTCTAACAACATGCAGCAATATATATATATATATATATATATATATATATATATATATATAAATCTGGAGGACACGACGGATTTTGGTGCACCTATAACAAATTGGTCAAGAGATTTACATGGCCTCACATGAATAAAGATGTTAATACGTTCATTCCTGCCATGTGTGTGTCAAGTACACAAAGTCAAGTATAAACAGCCTACAAATGCTATGATACTACCTTGCCACTCCAACGTGCCTTTCGAAGTAGTTCACCTAGATTTCGCCGAACTAAATAAGAAACGGGAAGGAGTCAAGAAAACGCAAGGTTTTCTTCTGGCCATAGATGAATGCACGAGGATGGTCGCGACACGAGCAGGAAAAGAAGATGCAAATAGCATCATAACCCTCCTCGAAAGAGACATGTTTAAGACTACACGGTCAATCGTATGCGATAACGGCCCTGCGTTCAAGAGCGAAAAGCTAGCAAGATGGGCTCGGGATCACAATATATCAATCAAGTTCTGCGCTCCATACCATCCCGCAGCCAATGGGCTGGCAGAACGTGCCATACGGGACGTGAAACGGTACATCAAGATGTACGATAGTTTTCTTGGTGGATGGAAATGTTCTTTGGAAGCCGTCGTGAAACATCATAATCGATCCTATACAAGTGGCTTGGGGTGCAGTCCACAGTACGCTTCTTCAGAAGAAACCCTTATTCTGCAGGCAAACCGTGAGTTGGGACTCTTGGAAAACATCAAGATCGTCGAGGAAAGGCAAGAAAAATCACAGGAGGAGAGATACCGAAAACGAATAAAGAAGAATTTTGACAAGAGGCATCGAGCAGACATGCAAGACATTCAAGTCACCGACCTCGTACTAGTGAAGAAAGGAATAAAAGATGACAGTGCCAAATTTTACGGTTTTTACCCTGTGACCAAAACAGCCACCCAGAACGGAATTTTGAAGACTGTCTGGTACACTGGTAAATGTGGATCAGTTGAATGTGGTTCAATTGGAAATGCCTTTAAATATTACCCCAGGAGGAGTAATTAAAAGAAACCGGGAAAGGTGAAGTGGTATGAGCCTTGGGACAGGAGAAGAAGAAGCACGAGAGCCAGGGCAGGAAAGAAGAGAAGGATGAAGTTAAAAATAAAGCAGATTAAGATGAACGCCAGTTCCATACTTAGGCTATAATGCTTTTCCGTTCTTTCAAGTAGTAACACTACAAAGTGGTTGAAATGTGGTAGCGTGTGGTGAACTTTCAACACACGCTATACTTTTAAACTCCAGGAGCAGACCAGCTGAAGTGACACCCTCCTTAATTGTCCGGCCTCATGGTAGCCCACTGCCATGCATTCAGAGTACTAGCGTGTGAATTCTGCCTGACACATCCAGTGGTTGCAGCATGCTCGCTAAACCGCCATTTGTACGACAGGCCCCGCCGATCTAACATCAACATTCGGCAGACTAACAGGCTTTCACTTCACGCTTCGGCCTGCGATGCCACAAAGGCCTCAAAGTGGTACATCTCAAATTTATTTGCACGCCAGTCGACCTGTGCGGGGTTGCACGTGTGGTGATGTATAGGCCTGACCGGCATACTTATAGAGCAGACACAAACATTAGATTTAACACAAACAAGCATTTAATTAAAACAAGGGCAATAGGCTGGAGATTACAAAAATAACAGAGGAAAAACACTAATATGCAATGAAAAGAACAGCTGCAAAACAAACTGTGCTCTAAAGGAACATTACAAGTACATAGTACAAATGGCCACAACATGGAATGTTAATAAAATAATGACATGATGGAAATAAAAAAAAAAGATACGAAGAAATAATTACGAAAGGATCATGCTCGCGCTTCTGAATGACTACGTGCGACACAGCGCACACAACTACACTTATTGAAAAGCTGGGTATATAATGTACAGTTGAAAAAAAAAATCACAATAAAAAGTTCCATACGGACCAGGCCAGCTCTTGGTACACGTAGGGGAGTTGACGGGGTACCGCTGAAGATCTCGTCAGCTTAGTAGACAACGCGGCTGCTTGGTACTGCTGCCATCTCAATACGTTGTGCAGGCCACTCAATGCTCGTCGCCTACGCTGGGGCCCAGCCTCCCTCTCTCGTGTACAGCAGCGTGAAAGCCTAGTTGCGGGGACACGACTGTTCCTTTGAGAGTCAGTAAAGCCTCTTGCGAAAGAATGGAACAACCCCGCGGCCTGAGCTCACAATCCCCCTTTAAAGGCGCATGGAACAGGTTTCCCCTCCCTCAGCGAGGGAACGTATTCTCGTCAGGGAGAGGGAAACCGGGACGGTGAAGAAAACTAGCGTGCCGTCAGCCGGACGCTCTTTGACATCGGCAAAGAAAGAAGGAGGTCGAACCCGCAACCCCCTGCGAGCCCAAGGACAACAACGACCAAGGTGTAAGCGTCTACCCTTGTTTTCTGTAGTCTCTCTACGCGACATTTACACACTATTGCTAACGTATAGCAATAAAGTGTCGCTTTGTTGACCTAGACGGTTGTCTTATTCGCCCGAAACCATGTAGCTGCAATGAGACAAGCTACAGATAGGGGACGTTAATCGTGCATGGTACGACTGTATGCAGCTGGAACATTAGCTATAGGCTTCTGTGTCAGCCGTACATAGGACGGACCTCCTACAACGCGAGCCTCGCAACACCGATGACCCCGTTTCTCCCTGGTTGCATGTCAACTGCCGATTCCAAAGCAGTCAAAACTTTCAGGGCATGCATGTCCTCCCGTTCCCTCTGGAGGCCATTTCTTTTTCCTCGAACACATGCGTGCCCCTTTGGTACAGGTGTAGGGAAGATACGGTGGCGTCATTGTTTGGTCGTTAGTCGCCAGATGTCATCTTCCCAACACAAAAGCGTCCTTCCTTGGACGATGGGGCGTGTGGTTAAAACAAAAATTGACAGAGCTTCACCAAGACAAGCTGCTACTTGGAAGCTCCCATGAAATGCGCCGTGACACTGCTGTTGTTTGCTGGCGAGAATTTTTTTTTTAACTCGGACTGCCAAGCTGGAAGAACAGCACTAACACAAACACTGCCTTCAGTTGAGTGTATACAATATCCATTCGTTCATGTCGAATACTTCGAAATTTTCAATGATTCAAATTCCAATTGAGAATTTGAATTCTGTAATATTCCTTTGAATATTCCAAGTGCTGGAGTATTCACACAAGCGTATAATTTCATGCACTTTTGCAGTTGAGTGTATACAATATCTATTCGTTCATGTCGAATACTTCGAAATTTTCAATAATTCAAATTCCAATTGAGAATTTGAATTCTGTAATATTCCTTTGAATATTCCAAGTGCTGGAGTATTCACACAAGCGTATAATTTCATGCACTTTTGCAGTTGAGTGTATACAATATCTATTCGTTCATGTCGAATACTTCGAAATTTTCAATAATTCAAATTCCAATTGAGAATTTGAATTCTGTAATATTCCTTTGAATATTCCAAGTGCTGGAGTATTCACACAAGCGTATAATTTCATGCACTTTTGCAATCCACCCATCAAAGACTAAAGTCAACATGAAGGAATCTCACTATAATGCACTGCAGTCTTGCTCAGTGGACTCAACAGACACACACCTGTTTTTGGTCTTCCTGTAACCTCTTCTCTGTGAGTGAGCGTGCCATCTTGAGTGCATCTTTTAAGGAACTGGGAACTCTAAGTGCAAGCTTGGCTGTGCTTCCATTAGCCGGTGCCACATTCTGAAAAAAGCTGATTACACCAATCTAATTAAATCTAGTACAACCGTTGTAAAAAGCAAACATCTTTATTCTGTGCAAGGAAATAATAGCCACCTTGCTATTCCTATACATACGAGGTGTGTTAGAAAAGAAATGAGACTGAATCAAAGTTTCTAGTTTTTTCAAACCACAATGTTATCCCCTTCAAAGTACTACCCTTGGGCAGCTGTACACCGGCGCAGTCAATGTTCCCACTGCCACTCTTGGTAGCAGCACTAGAAGGCTTTAACTGGTATGGCTTTTAACTAGTCTGTCACAGCCTCTTGAATGTTTTCCAGAGCCCTAAAATGGCGTCCTTTAAGGGCATGTTTAAATTTTTATAAAAGACCCAAATCAAGAGAATAGGGCATTGAGAAACAACGGTAATGCATATTGAGGTAAAAATGCACTGATAGAAACGACCGTGGGACGCGAGACATTGTCATGATGAAGTATCCAATTGTCCGCAATGTGCTGTCTTGCACAAATCAATATTTCATATGTTCAAATCATCTGACGAAATTTTATGTTCAATGACAGTGTTTAAATTAAACTCTTCAGACATCCAAACATCATTTGTATCGTTAAAAGATGGCCTGATATCATCAGAGCCCTTACACTTTCAACGCTTTCATCAGTTTTTGAAGTGGCATGTCTCCCTGAGCTAGGTTCATTTTCAACGTTTTCTCAGCCTTCCAAAAATAATTCGTGCCAGCAGAAAACTGGTGCTCTTGATAAACAACATTCCCCATACGCTTGTTCCAACTTGCCAAAAGTCACACTCGCAGATTCACAAAACCTTGTGATCCAAAACTGCTCTAAAGTCCGATGCTGTATTTTCATAACATACCACAAAAACACAACTTGACCTATGGCTCTGTCAAAACTGCTGTGTTAGCTCTACGAAATGGTAACTCGGACTGAGGAACTGGCAATAAACAAAGCGAACTAGGGCAGGCAGTTAGACACAGCGTTGGCAGTCTCAATACTTTTCTAATAGACCTGAGGCGATGCGAAAACTAACAGTCTCCATATATAGGCTATTGCAATAATAATAATAATGATAATAATAATAATAATAATAATAATAATAATTTATTGTACACATCTATAAGAAATACAAAGAAAAGGGTCTGTCTAAGTCCCAAGGACTTGTGCGACTAGGCCCGGCAGAGCCGGTTACAGTGATGTGGATACAAGGAAAACAAAAACTATTGTTGCTTCTTTGCCAACGAACAGACTAATGATTGACACCATTGCTTTTTTACAGGCAGTAAATAAAAAAGCACAAAGGACGGACTCAGAGCATACGTGACGTACAAGTAGACCATGTGATCTTATAGCTCAGCAAGTAATTTCTTTAATTGCTTTTTTGAACTCGCTGAAAAAAATTCTTCAGGGAGTGCATTGAAAATTTTTGGAATATATACACTCCTACATGCTTCCCCATATCGGTTAGAAAACCGGAGTTCAATAAAACGCTTTTTTCTCTCAGGGGTCGATGCGTTACATATGGCACTTTAAAGTCATCACACCGATTGTATCTCAGCACAACTGTTTTAGTAAACAAATCCTGGAATACACAAAAGCCCAAATCCCGAAAAATATAGTATTGGCATCTACCTTAAGCAACACGTAAGCAACACTCTTTAAAATATTTCCAAGTAAACTGTCAATGCGTGTTTTCCAGCGTTCTGAGCAAAATGCGAAAGCTGCTATACCATATCTCACCACACTATATGCTAGCGAATGAACTATCATCTTTTTTTCACTGGTAGAGGCACCAAGCTTTTTAAATTGAAAAGCAGACATGCCACACTTCCCGGTTTATAATAAATAAATGCCATGTGATGTTGCCAAAACATACCACTATGAAAAATTACGCCTAGGTATCTGAATGTTTCGACATTTTCCACTGCAGAACATTTGCATAGGTTGCAATGCTCGATGTGAAGAAAAACTGGTATATCCATTTTTTTTTGTGTTTTTAGAGTGCTTCGAAAGCAGATCAGTTTTGTTTTCTTTCAATTTACAATTAAACAGTTTTCTTCAAACCATATCATTGCATTATGAATTTCACTCTGAAGAGCATTAATCACCCCTTCATAACTTATGTGACGTGTTAATAGCATCGTATCGTCTGCATACTGGTGCACATTGGCTTTACGAATTCCGAAGGAGAAGTCATTCATAAATCAATTAAATAACAATGATGACAACACCGATCCTTGTGGCACACCAGCAGTAATATATTTTCCATTGCTAATTACTTCCCTACATCCCATAACGACCTGTGACCTGTCTTGTATGTAATTATAGAGTACATCATAAAAAGGCCCCCTAAAGCTCAAACGAAATAGCTTTTCTAAGAAAATGGCATGATTCACTGTTTCAGACGCTTTTGTCAAGTCTGAAAACAGAACACAACAGAACAGGTTCTTGTCTAAAACCGAATATATTTCATCTGCGATGATGTTTATTCGAACAGAGGAGTCACAATGAGGCCGCGACGGAAAATGGGCGAACAGCAAGTCTGGCAAAGGCGGCACAGGTTCTCGCGCAATCAGAGCACGGGCTTTTCGTTGTCTTCCGAAGGCGCATACGCGTTGGTGCATATGCTCCACTACAATACCGCCGGGGTGAAGGGTAGCCATCCTGGCGACTCAGGGAGTAGGCACAATGAGGGGGTCGTAGTAGGGCTTGAGACGGTCGACGTGTACAGTCTCGCGTCCTCGACGGCGCAAATCTGGTGATTGTGTTAGTGGCTCGATGACGTAATTCACCGGGGAAGTCGTGTCAATGACACGGTAGGGACCATGGTACCGGGCAAGAAGTTTAGAAGACAGGCCAGGAACGTGCGGGGGCACCCAAAGCCACACAAGGGAGCCAGCACGAAATGTAGGAGCTATGCGGTGAGCGTCGTCGTGTCGAGTCTTTTGTAGACCTTGAGCCTCACTTGTCTGAGACCGAGCCAACTGACGGCAGTCTTCAGCGTATCTGGCGACTTCCGAAAGCGGGGAGCACTCAGAAGCATCAGGGCGATACGGTAGTATAGTGTTGAGTGGGTGGGAAGGTTCGCGGCCGTACAATAGAAAGAACGGGGAAAAACCGGTAGTCGCTTGTGTCGCGGTGTTATAAGCGAAGGTAACAAAGGGCAATACAGCGTCCCAGTTAGTGTGGTCGGAGGAGGTGTACATCCTCAGCATGTCGCCAAGTGTGCGGTTGAACCGCTCAGTAAGACCATTTGTCTGTGGATGGTATGCGGTAGATTTCCGGTGGATAATGTTGCATTCAGCGAGGATAGCTTGGATGACCTCCGACAGGAACACTCGACCCCTATCACTGAGTAATTCCCGCGGAACACCATGGCGTAGAATGAAGCTGCGGAGAATGAAGAGTGCAACTTCGTGGGCGGACGCTGCCGGTAGAGTTGCAGTCTCAGCGTAGCGTGTCAGATGATCGACTCCGACAATAATCCACCGGTTTCCAGAGCTACTATATGGGAGGGGGCCATAGAGGTCTACACCCACGCGGTCGAATTGGCGAGCCGGGCACGGGAGCGGCTGTAACATGCCAGTAAGGTGCCGCGGAGGTGTCTTGTTCTGTTGGCAAGTGGTGCAAGACTGAACGTATTTCTGCACAAAGCGATACATTCCTCGCCAGTAATAGCGTTGGCGCAGCCTTTCGTAGGTTTTCAGGACACCTGCGTGAGCACTTTGAAGATCTGCATGGAAATTCATGCAGATGTCAGAGCGCATATGAGTTGGGACAGCAAGGAGCCACTTCCGACCACCAGGCATGTAGTTGCGGCGGTACAGAATGTTGTCTCGTAAGGAAAAGTGGGCTGCTTGCCGGCGTAGCGCTCTCGTGGAAGGGACAGCAGACGGATCGGTAAGGTAGTCGACTAACAAGGCAAGGTATGGGTCTTTACGCTGCTCCGATAGCATGTCAGTCGTGTCGAGTGGTGACAAGGTGGTAAAAGGGGGAGACAGAGAAGCCACATCTGGTGTTAATGGCGATCGCGAAAGTGCATTGGCATCCGCATGCTTGCGACCGGAACGATATACGACACGGATGTCGTATTCTTGCAATCAAAGTGCCCAACGCCCCAGGCGTCCGGACGGGTCTTTCAAGGTGGACAGCCAACATAGAGCGTGGTGGTCTGTGACCACGTCGAGAGGACGGCCGTAAAGGTACGGGCGAAACTTCGTCAACGCCCAGATTATGGCCAAACACTCCTTCTCTGTCACGGAGTAATTCAATTCAGCCTTCTTGAGAGCGCGACTTGCATAGGCGACTACGTATTCAACTTGGGTGCCTTTCCGTTGTGCCAAAACTGCACCAAGACCGATGCCACTTGCATCGGTGTGAACTTCTGTGGCCGCAGCAGGGTCGAAGTGACGAAGAATAGGTGGTGAGGTCAGCACGCGGCGCAGCTGGTGAAATGCGTCGTCACATGCAGGTGATCATGCAGATATGCCTTTGCTGTTGGAAAACAGACTCGTGAGAGGTGCGATGATGAACGCGAAGTTGCGCACGAAGCGACGAAAGTAGAAGCAGAGACCGACGAAACTTCTTAGGGCTTTCAGTGATGTGGGCAACGGAAAGTCAGCGACAGCTCGAAGCTTATCGGGATCCGGAAGAACACAGTCTCTTGTGATGACATGTCCCAAGATGGTTAGTTTTCGCGCTGCGAAGTGGCACTTCTTGGAGTTGAGTTGTAGGCCTGCAGAAGTTAGACACGTCAGAACCTCGTGGAGGCGAGCAAGATGTGTCGGGAAATCAGATGAAAAGACTACGATGTCGTCCAGGTAACATAAGCAGGTTTTCCACTTGTGGGCACGCAAGATGGTGTCGATCATGCGCTCAAATGTGGCAGGCGCGTAGCAGAGCCCAAATGGCATGACTTTGAACTCATATAGGCCATCCGGCGTTACAAAGGCTGTTTTAGGGCGATCACATTCAGCCATTGGCACCTGCCAATACCCACAACGCAGATCCAAAGATGTAAAGAACTCGGCACCTTGTAAACAGTCAAGAGCATCGTCTATTCGTGGTAGTGGATAGACATCTTTCTTTGCAATCTTGTTTAGGCGGCGATAGTCCACGCAAAATCGAACAGTGCCATCTTATTTCTTCACCAGAACCACAGGTGATGACCGAGCGCTTTGAGAAGGCTGTATGATTCCAAGTTTAAGCACGTCACCTACTTGCTCTGCAATGAGGCGGCGCTCTTCGGCAAGAAACGCGGTAAGGACGCTGTCCCAGAGGTGAGTGTGAGCCATTGCCAACAGTATGAGTGATAGTCGTGGTGCGGCCCAAAGCAGGTTCTTGAAAGTCGAAAGAAGACCGAAACTCGTTAAGCAGAGCAACAAGTTGGCAGCGATGCTAGGGGGACAGGTCTGCGTCAATGCCATTGTCGAAGGCTGACGAACTTGATGGCTCAGACGCATGAGTTATTGCGGCAATGTGACATGGGGTTTCATCGGGAAGAATAATACCATCGGTATGGTCAACAAGTTGTACATGTCCTAAAGTTTCACCACGGAGTAAGCCAATGAGGTAGTTGCAGTGGTTAGTAACCAGCATTACGGTTAAACCAGACGCAATTGTAAGAACAGCAAATGGGAGAACGATGCCCTTGCGTTCAGTAAAAACCAGAGATGACGTAAACACCACCGTGCCGTCAGGTTGCGCCACACATGAAAGGCTAATAGGGACCGAAGCTTCAGGAGGCAAGGTGATGTCAACATTAGCGATGAGTTTGCAGAGCAGAGGAGAGCGGTCGGGTGGTGGAAATTCACATGTTGGCACAAGGGACACTTCGGCATGGGAACAATCCATGATAGCTTCATGACGTGATAAGAAATCCCAACCTAGGATAAGGTCATGAGAGCAAGATGGTAGAACAAAAAACTGTACGACGTACAAAACGTCTCGGATGACGACGCGCGCCGTACACACAGCCGAGGGATGAATGCGTTGCGCGTTAGCCGTGGACAGCACCAAGCCACTGAGAGATGTGGTCACTTTCTTCAGTTTGCTACAAAATTTTGCGTTCATCACAGAAACGGCAACCCCGGTATCAATTAACGCTAATGTGGCGACTCCCTCAACATCAACATCAACAACATTTTGCGGCGAAAATGGAGGCCTTGGGAATTGCGCACAAGGTGCAGTTCTTGCCTCCGGAACTGCACTGATCAGTTACCCTCCTCAGGAGGTGGTCGACGACGCATAGGCGATGGCGACCGGCGATGAGGTGATGGGAAACGAGCAGTCGATGGGTGGCGATCCGAGTCGGAGTGCCTCTGTTCATATGCAGATGTGGTGGTCTGCTGTGGTGCGTAGGTAGGAGCTCCGAAGTATGCGTGCGCAAGTGTGGGACGGCGGCGGCAGAAGCGTGCAATGTGGCCAGCGATGCCACACGCGAAGCAGATGGGACGATTGTCTCGGGTGCGCCACTCATTAGATGGACGGAAAAAGCGAGGAGGGGGCCTGTAAACTGGAGGCGAGGCCGGAGGAGGTGGAGCCGATAAGGCGACTGGATGCGGTGGGGGCCGCGCGACCACAGCTGCGTAGCTGAGAGGTGAAGGTGGCGCAGTTGGTGCGTAGCCAGCAGTTGAGAGATCAGATGGCACCGAAGTGCATGGGTAAGAGGCTGGAACTGTAGGGAGGGCATTGAAAATTTCAGTGCGTAAGGCCTGCTGCATATTCGAAGGGAGGCTTGTCGTGGGCGCGTCGCTATGCGGCAGCAGGGAGAGCTGTCGGGCGACTTCCTCCCTGATGAAGTCTTTAATCTGGTTCGACAGAGTTCCTTGGTGAACGTTGCCATTTGCGAGTGCGACGGCCGAGATCGAATCTGGTGATGGGACACTCTGTCGGGCGATGGAATGCTGACGACGCAATTCATCGAAGCTCTGGCACAGGCTTACGAGGACTGCCACCGTGGTCGGGCTTTTCGGCAGCAACATCTGGAATGCGCCATCCTCGATGCCTTTGAGAATATGTCGAATTTTCTCTTCTTCAGGCATGGATGAGTTAACACGCCTGCAGAGGTCGAGCACATCCTCAATATAGCTAGTAAAGGTCTCGCCAGGCTGCTGGGCTCGGTGGCGCAGACGCTGGTCAGCGCGGAGCTTGCGGACCTCTGGTCGGCCGAACGCTTTGGTCACGAGGGTCTTAAAGGTGGACCAGCTGGCGATGGCGGTTTCGCGGTTGGTGAACCATAGCTTGGCGACGTCAGCCAAGTAAAAGATAACATAGGCAAGCTTAGAGTCGTTGTCCCATTTGTTGCTGGCACTCACGCGTTCGTACAAGGAGAGCCAGTCTTCGACGTCTTGCTCACCACTGCCGCTGAAGATTGGTGGGTCCCGCTGACGGGTAGCACCGGGGCAGGTCGACGGGGCAGCCGATGGTGCTGGCTGTGCTGGGATGGGCTGGTTGGCGACTGCGTCAGTCATGTTGTACTGTGGTCTTTCGGCCAACTTGCAAGAGCGGAGCTCCAGGTCTGCTTAGGGATCTCAGCAGCCTCCACCAAATGCGATGATGTTTATTCGAACAGAGGAGTCGCAACGAGGCCGCGACGGAAAATGGGCGAACAGCAAGTCTGGCAAAGGCGGCACAGGTCCTCGTGCAATCAGAGCACGGGCTTTTCGTTGTCTTCCGAAGGCGCATACGCGTTGGTGTGTATGCTCCACTACACATCACTAAACTCTTTTAATAAAGTTATAGTACTACGATTAGCAATGGCACCAAATTGCCGGGGTGTCAGCAGCGAGACTTTCTGCAACAAGGACATCATACATTGAAGCAAAAATTTTTCTAGCATCTGGGAGAGTATAGGCAAGAGAGAAATTGGTCCGTAATTTTTTGCACCATCTTCTTCCTCTGCTTTAAGCAATGGCTTACCTATAGCTGTTTTTAATTTTTCGGGAATCATTGCACTGATTAAAAATACAACCTGAGAAATGTACATCTGCTAATGCCTCAAAGTTGTGTATAAGCGTGGCTACAACTACCCCATCAATTCCTGGTTGCTTATTTGGACGAAAACTGAAAATTATTCTCGCGAGATCTTCCTCCGAGAGCGTGGGCAAATAAGCAGATGCAGGAACACACTGTTTAAGCATGCACGTGCGTTTATGCGCATGCACATTCTTGGAAACATGTATGAAGAAGTGGTTGAACTTATCAACCACTATCTCTGGTTTCTCGGAAAACAATTAGAGTAGATCGATGGGCGTGTGCTTTTTGCCTCGCGGATTATCTATCAAAGCCCATGTCTTTGTCGGATTTTGCTACGATTGGTTGGATCGTTCCAAAAAATACCGCTTTTTCGCTGACCTTAAAAGAGCGACAACCCTATTCCTCGCAATCTTGTATTCCATTTTTAATAATAATAATAATAATAATAATAATAATAATAATCGTGGTGCTGGCAATATGTACATTTAACCCTGAAGTGTGACTTTGCAGCAGCACAAATTTTCTTGGCTAGGCATTTTCACGGCATAGCAGCCCCACACCACAGTGAAACTATCTCTTCATGAAGGGGGAAGGGGTTACATTCAGTAACATAAATGTCTATTTGTTTCACAAGCTTCAAAATTTCGTAAGTTTGAAATAGTGTCGAGTACTGTCATATATGGTTAAATACTTGAAGTGTCCGAATATGCAATGTACTTCAATATTTGGCCATGCCTTGTTTTTTTAAAGGGGCACTAAAGAAAAAAATTATTTTTCATGCATTTGTAAAGTATAATTTTGCGATCCTGAAAACACCACTGTTACCCCCAAATAACACTTGATAAGAGAGGAAATGAGCGAATAGAGAATTTCGGTGGAGATGCACCTCGCGATTGCCGCACTAAACACCGTGAGGTAGTAAATTTTGAAGGAGTCTACTGTGTCCTACGTAGCTTTTAGTTGATGAAAATTATGTACACTTTATTGTCTGTGGGTGCTATAGACCCTAGCATACGAAGTTTCATGAAACTTTTTTGAGCCCATGCCACAAAACTACAAAAATGAATTTTGAAATTTAAAAATGACACTTCAACTTTCATTTTATCCACTAATAATGAACTTGTGACATTATAGTTCTAAGAGTACAGTTTATCAATCTAAACTAAGTCATTGTTTCTCTTTGGTGTCACTTTTTCCATTTTGCCCTGAACTCCTTCACTTTGCTAGACAGGAATCTTTATGACAAAGTGATTACACTGATTAAGCAATGACTACAAAGTGATTAGTTTGATTAAGCTGTCACCTAAAAATGAAGCAGGGCTGACTCACGGGTGCATAAGTAGATTTTCCACTGAAGGCAGTCCATTCTTACATGCTTCTGTCGAAAGAAGTGCCTCCAGCACAGACCCTGAGAGAGAGATGAACACACTTGAAGCCTCTGAAAACCACTGATATAAGCGATTCTAAAAACACTTTCAAATTTCGCACTTAAATGCGTACATTTAAAGCAACACTTACTTATACAGAGTTCTACAATCATACCAGCAATGTAATTCCTTTCCGAAAATTGGACATGTCCACGCACAAACTTGCAGAAGATAGCAAATGCCAGCTGCGAGCCACGATAAATAACTTTGTACAAGTTAGTGTAGTGAGAAGTACTTCACAGAAAAGTCCAATAATTCTATAGCTGTAGTATCACTAACAAGCAGCACACATAATGCACTTACTTCATTAACGTGGCATGGGTAGTGGGCTTGTGCAACACAAGGGTGGCACCACAATCAGCAGACAGACTGCCGTTAGCTCAGCCAAAGGCTAATCCATGAATAATGCATAAGGGGAATTTCACAGCTAATCTAACAGAAGAACTAAGATTCTATCCACAAATGCCGAGATTGATTTCTAGGCCCATAGAGCACAGCAGTACAGGAGAGAAAAATGTGGTCACCTGCCTAGCTATCTCCTCCTCAAGATTGCTCTGTTCACACTTTTTCGCCATTACTGAGAAGCACATCCACCAGAGCTCTTTTTGTTACACAAGGCGTCATTCGATGATGCCGGGCCTTTCGCAATTGTGTGCTTTTTGTGCTCCCTACAATGATGACTTAAATACATGATGATTGATATGTGGGGTTCAATGTCCCAAAACCACCATATGATTATGAGAGACGACGTAGTGGAGGACTCCGGAAATTTCGACCACCTGGGGTCCTTTAACTTGCACCCAAGTCTGAGCACATGGGTCTACAACATTTCCGCCTCCATCGAAAATGCAGCCGCCACAGCCGGGATTCGATCACGCGACCTGCGCGTCAGCAGCCGCGTACCTTAAGCACTAGACCACTGCAGCGGGGCATTGAATCCAGTAATACTTTTTTCAGTGATTTGATTGCTCAAAGCAATTTCGGCGCAGCTTCTGGAGCAGCAAATGAGGCTTCTGGAGCACGTTACCAGACCCACATTTGCGAATAAAAATATTTATGTCTCTAATACTGTCATTAGTATGTTGACATGTGGCAAAAAGTAGGAAGATGAAATAAAATAAAAAGGAGGGTATCAAACAAAGATGTACAAATTAAAGAGAGAAGAAGGTGTGTACACTAAACATTTCAGACTTTTGTCATGCTACTAGCACTCATTTCCTTTTATTTATATTTTTTAAAGTTTCTAACCTTATATATTTTTGTAGCATATCTACTTGCATAATAGGTGCACTTTACTTCCAGAAAATTTGGCACCAAGTTTGGGGTGTGCTCATTACGTGGGGTAAAATGTCCGAAAACTTTATTTCTGACTACAGCAAAGACCGTTGATAATATACGTCGCCAAGTCACGAATATCCGCACTACAGCCGAAACAACCTTTTTTAGAGGCTGCACTGGCACGAAACGTGTTGAGCATGCAGTCACGCGTGTCCGAGAATTGAGGCATGAGACGTGCTGTGCGTTCAAATTTCCTAAAATTAACATTGATAGACCCCCAGTGCCAACAAAATGAACGCAGAAAAAAACAAATACGAGACAAAAGCCCTATCGTGGAAATTCTCCGATTATGTTTCAAGCCACCTAGATTATACTCATTATCAGGACAGATATTTCGTGGGCTGACCAGTACTGATTGTTCGATTTCACAGGCTCACACCTCACATTCAAGACATTGCAATTGAATCGCAAACGAACATTTGAGTGTTTCAAGCGTCGACCAAGCCCTCTTTCCTTCAAATAAAGCCATTGAAAAGAGTTATCCGCACAAAACAGGAACTCTGATCGCTCATGACCGCTACCGAAAAGCACCAAAAGTGATTAGGCCGAGCCTCCAAAAAGCTTTTAAATTTGCGGACAAGACAGCAAACGCGATAACGACGATGCTCTTCCTGACAGAAATCTCAGTGCGCACTTGATGAGGATGCGATCACACTTTCCATGCAGCATGCGCGTGCAGCTGAAGCCACACCAGTGCAGAGGCTCCTCCGCTACACCCAAGCAACTACCCTTCTTCCTTACTCCGTGCGGAACTGGCGCAGTGCTGCAGCGGTCTTATTCCTTTTTTTTCTTGTTGCTCATTACACTTAATGTAAGAGGGTGTCGAATTGCAAGCGTGCAAATGCCCTACAGAATTACTAATCACGGCCAAGTTCATGATGCACCTATTATGCACAAAATTTTAAAAATTGATTTTTCGTGACCAAACTGAGAGTGCGCCTATTGTGCAAATAAATACGATAATTTCCTTTTTTTTTCTTTGTACATTTTTAAAAATAGGTTGGCAATCATTAGTGCAGTAATCATCCATAAGCTACAACAAGTTTTCTTGGTCGATCCCCCAGAGTGGGTATGGGCCAGAAGTGATGGGCCACAAATAAAAGAGAATTGAAGAACACAGAGAAAAGAGTTTGAAGAACGAGCATGAGAATAATTCATATTTAAATTTGTTATATTAGTTAATTCTAACTTATACGAGTAATACATTAAAGAAAATACTGAGGAATTCATCTACTACTCAGTCAATCCCCTATATGAGCCATGAGATGAGAAGAAAAATGGAACATTCATGCCCACTGTAGGTATCAGCCACGAGAAGTGAACGAAAACAAGAACAGAGAGAAGGAGAGAGGGCAGAGCGTATTTGAATGCCAAGAGGCGTGGATGTGCGGTGGCAGCGGCAAGGGGTTCGCCCCAAGTCCGCCAGCAGAGGCAAGGTGCCACAGACTTTGCAGCAACGTACTGTGACCCGGGGGCACGACCAGCTCAGCCCAGTGGGGCCTTCCTCTTGAGGACGTGCAGATGTTCTGCAGATATGCTTCACGAGTCGCACACCTGAGGACGAGCGGCACAGCCATTGCAAGTACCTGACGCGGCGGTGACCGGCTACAACGGGGACCCGATGGTGTAGCAGACGGTCATGCTTCAGTGAAGCATTGTTCTTAGCTGAAACGACAAGACTTCACCTCAGCACCGGGGCCACCACGTCCAGGTTATCAATCGGTGATGGAACTGTATCATTTTGGTTTTGGGGCATAGTATGTGCAAGAGATGTTTGTTTATATTGTCGAAGTTTCCCTACTTTTTGTGTACTTTTAGTGAAAAGAGTTTAGTTTTCTCTTGCATAAAGAAATTCGCGTAGTCCTCGGTGTTGCTATTCTGTTTTCTACCATAAAGGCCATGCCAAATTATGTTAGCAAGCCTGCCAGGATTAATTATTTTTTCTGATTAGACTTTATCGGCACAGGAGCATGGATTACAAAAAATCATTACGAATTGAGACTGCGTTGATGCTTAGCCAAGAGTCTCATCGCATTGTTCGAACTTACATTGTTCGAGTACACAGAAAAGGAAGCTTGCTAGGCGTGTGAAACTGTGATACATCTCTTAAAATTTCACTTCGCAGACATCTTACCACACAAGAGATGATGACACTAAATCATCCGTTTATGTAGAGCGGAAGTTTCCTAGAGCAAAGAGCATTTATCCACATAAGCTAATAGCTCCCTTTGATGACAAAAGCAATGATTTAGATGCTTATTTGCACTGTTTTGAAAGAATGGCTGTGAGTTGAGGATCAATATATTTGCACAACGCAAGAAAACAAGCAGTTACAACGTAATTACAGAAGGAACAAACATGGACAGAAAAGAGCGCTGGAAATATATACACATGATAGCCAGCAGCACATTACAGTACAACCGTGCAGCCTATTGAGTCATAGTCAGTGTAGCTACGCTCCAACTACTCATTTTCTGTGCAAATATGTTGATTCCAAACCACCATGTAGACCAAGCGTCCGTCTTATCGGGTTAAGGATGGCAGAAAAGAGAGTGGGCGACAGCACTGAGTCTATTGTTTAGTAGGCAAAGCATTGAGTGTGTTCGGAAGGATGCCGGCGTCGGAGTCTACGGACTACAACAAGGCCAAAAAAGCTCTGCTTCAACGGTTCAGGCTAACAACCCAAGGATTCCGAGAAAGATTTTGAAAATGTAAACCTGAAAATGCAGAGATGAGTAAACAATTTGTTTGTAGATTAACTAACTTTTTTGAGAGATGGATGGAAATGTCCAACACAGAGAAGACATACGAGACGTCTAAAAGAACCGTGATCAAGCAATTCTTGACAGGTTGTAGTTCAGACTTCAGTGTCTTCCTTCACTTGCATTTAAATGGTTTGATGACTATGCTGAGTGCGCATATATGCATATATGCCATGGCGAGAAAAGTTCAGAGAGGGGCACGTTCCCGACGTAATCCCCCCCCCCCCTCGCTACACTACTGGCAGTCTTGTTTTGTGTAATGCCTCAATCGATAACATTCTGCGGCGCATTGTCTTTTACACATGGTTAAAGCAAAGATAAGAAGAGACCAATCTCTTTTAAACTGAGGCCGGATGTGATAACATCTCCACTTGTGCCTGGCCTCCTATTGATTGTTGCAAGCAGAGAGGGACGCGCTGCTTATGTCCAGGGGACAGGAAGGAACGAGCTAGGAACCGGGGGGGGGGTTATGAACTTTGACTTTAAAGGTGTGATCGCTGGAACGTGCGCTATTTACGGCTGGTATACCTTTCTAAATTGTACTCTCAACGTGAACAGGCTGTGGGAAAAGTGCTTCACTTTCTAGAGCGGCCATATAAGGGTATGCACTGAGCCTTGATCGCAAGGCGGCCACACCATCATTTAGCCATTTCAGAGGGACGTGCCGTTTCTGCTGTACAAATAGAATCGCATTACTGGTCTAGAGCAGCGCAGTGCGTGCCTGTCAACACTGTTGTTGGCCACGGCTTCTATCTAACGTCAGCTACAAGCTTTTGTTTATGCTTACATTACAACAGAAGGACCTAACACGCAGTGCGACCATGTTTGGTACGATTACGGCATCCATCTTAACATATTTCTGAAGAAAACAACAGCTGGAG